TTCAAATTAACCAGGATCGGGGAGTGGCTTAAGAAAGGAAGGACGGGGGGGGGGGGGGGGGGGGGGGGGGGGGGGGGGGGGGGGGGGGGGGGGGGGGGGGGGGGGGGGGGGGGGGGGGGGGGGGGGGGGGGGGGGGGGGGGGGGGGGGGGGGGGGGGGGGGGGGGGGGGGGGGGGGGGGGGGGGGGGGGGGGGGGGGGGGGGGGGGGGGGGGGGGGGGGGGGGGGGGGGGGGGGGGGGGGGGGGGGGGGGGGGGGGGGGGGGGGGGGGGGGGGGGGGGGGGGGGGGGGGGGGGGGGGGGGGGGGGGGGGGGGGGGGGGGGGGGGGGGGGGGGGGGGGGGGGGGGGGGGGGGGGGGGGGGGGGGGGGGGGGGGGGGGGGGGGGGGGGGGGGGGGGGGGGGGGGGGGGGGGGGGGGGGGGGGGGGGGGGGGGGGGGGGGGGGGGGGGGGGGGGGGGGGGGGGGGGGGGGGGGGGGGGGGGGGGGGGGGGGGGGGGGGGGGGGGGGGGGGGGGGGGGGGGGGGGGGGGGGGGGGGGGGGGGGGGGGGGGGGGGGGGGGGGGGGGGGGGGGGGGGGGGGGGGGGGGGGGGGGGGGGGGGGGGGGGGGGGGGGGGGGGGGGGGGGGGGGGGGGGGGGGGGGGGGGGGGGGGGGGGGGGGGGGGGGGGGGGGGGGGGAACCATGAGAAACGGCCCAGAACCCGAGAAATGGGACCCCTTCCTTGCCCGTTGATTCGAGCATTGATGCGACTCTCATCGCTGTGCCCTCTTCAACACTACGCTCTCTCAGCTATCTAATCACTCGCCACGTATTGAACTACGGCGAGTGATCAGATGATCGGTGGGCGGAGATCGCCGGACCCGCCAGCTTTGAGGCATGATAGGTCGCCGAGGTCAAATTTTTCCATGCGAATTGCGCGTCAGTTCGCACCCTCAGGAGGTCCGTGGGTCCCTCAACTAGGTCAGTTTCCCTTTCTTCGACCTTCATTCTAATCGTGAATTCCTCCTTTAAAACAGAGTGGTGATACAAGTGTACCGCCCGTGAAGAAAATAGAAAGGAAAAACACCAGGAACGCCCAGTTCGGGGCGTCAAAATTTAGTGCTAAGTGGGTTGGGGGGGAGGGAAGAGAAACGCAGCGGAGCGGCACTCTGCTCGCCTGACGGGCTCTCTCGAGCCGACATAACTCGTAAACTCGAAAAAAACATTATAACATTTCAAGCCTTTTCAAGCATGTCAAGTGAGTGCATTCTCCCCCCCCCCACCCACCCTATAGGTTGCCTACATCTCAATGGCTCAAAGTACCCAAATAAGCCAGGCGAGTAGAGTGCTGCGCCGCCGCGCGGTTCCCCAACCCATCCTAGCACCCACATTTTTGTGAAGTGAACTATAAAGAAGAGATAGCAGCTGCCAGGGAGAGAGAACAGACGAGAAAGCGTAGGACTGGGTGACGCAGACATCCCGCCGCGCCTAGAACGCTACACTGCGGAACAATTGCAGCATATTCAGCGAAATGGCAAGTCTTTCGCCTTTGGTACGGCTTTTGTATCACTTGTACGGTGCATGTTCTACCTCTATTGAATGCTCTAGCCGATCCACCTAAGGGATCGATCTCCTTAGCAAATTTTGTTTTAGACTGCGCTCAAGGCTTCTGCGATGAGCTAAAAATTTTTGATATACAAGCGGAAGGATGCAATAAGGTCGTAAGTGCGTTCGAAATGAAATGTAACCTCTTAATGCGTCTCAACACACGCTATATCAAATCTGCCCTCTCTAAGATCTGCTATGGACGACTCTCGACGAGTTATGAAGCGTAATAAGCTCAGTACGTGATGGTCCGCGTCCCCGCTCTCCCCCGGCAAATGGGGGTGGCAGGGTAAAAGCTCGTAGGATCGGTTCCTTTGCAAGTTTGTTGCTTTGCTTTTGTCCGCAACACTTCTAGAGACAAAAGCAAAGCAACCAATTTGCAAAGGAACCGATCCTACGAGCTTTTACCTGCCACCCTGGACCATCACCACTGAGCTACCATGGCCTTGCATGAGCTCCATCGGAGAGCCGTTTTTAGTCAGCATTTGGAATCAGCGTCTAAGAGACGCAGTCAGGAGCGGTTGACATCTCATATCATACGGCTCACTTCGCACCCTTCCATCTTCCCTTGTTAGATACATGTCTCCATCTTTACCATTAGCACTCCCCATTCCGTTATTCTCCACTGTCCATAAAAGAGGCCCATAGCTACTTTCACTCAGGGAAGCCATTTTCCTACTCTCCTAATTGCCTCGGTCTCCTGTCAGCAAACTTTCTACAATTAAAGCTTTAACTTGCTTTTATTGTTCCATTGCTTTTCCTACGTCGTATTCCTCCCGTGACTGGGCACACCCTTTGAGTGCATTGAATAAATAAACAAATAAATAAAGGTGCTCGTGAATCCGGACCTACCGGAATGTTGAAATGATCGCTTCACTAATGCGATATCTTCCACCCTAACGATCATGCAGGAAGTATCCCGAATCCTTATGAAACTCTTCGAGAAACAGGACGGGTGGATATTTCATGGGCCGTTCAAGGCTCACAATGGAAACTGTGGAAGAGACCTACCTCCAAGTTGATTGGCTGAGGCCTTGACTGCATCCTTGGATTTGGTCTGGAAGGCAACTGTCTAGGAACAAATCGTCTTGTGCTGTCAGGATCAGTTCTTGCTGTATGCACCATGGGAGTCCTTGCTGGAACTACGCCAGCTCCGATAGCGCTTCTCTCTGGCACTGTTTGAGCGAACTCCTGCACTGGTCTCTCGTGTGGCAGTGACTGGTGAGATTGGAAAGGTGCCCTAGGAGCCACTTCGCTCTCCGGCTCGGCCTTCGGTAGTTGCACCCTAGGTGGTTGAGCAGCTTCCACTGGTGTAGAGGGAGCAGAGATCCTCGGATTTTGCTGTGGAATGGTATGACCGGAATGCGCTGGTCCCGCTTCTTACTAAGGGGGCATCTAACGTTGGTGGCAGAGAAGCTGCCTTTTTGGGCACATCTTCGCCAGTGGAGGGCATGACGTTAACTGTTTCCATTGGCATTGCCTCCACTTTCTTCACTACATTCATCACAGCTGCATTTGGAAAGGCAGCAGCACCAGGAATCTCTTCTTCTGGGGTATTCCTCAACACTTCTTTCTTCTGTACGGCCTCCTCCTTATCGGGAGCAGTCTGGTTTCGCTTCTCGTCATTTGTGGAACCCTCCATCCGTTTCTTTGGATCTGCCGCTGTTGGCGTTGTTGCTTCAGTGGCTTCCTCTTTCTCAGGAACAGGCGTCAACGTTGACGAAACGACTGTCGCAGAGGGAGAGTCATTCTCTTCAGTGGTTTCTTCCGTTGTGGTGGTCGTCATAGTACTAGCCAACTCTTTTGGTTCGCTTGTAGAGCTGTTCTCCTTGGCT